GATGTCTTCATTGAATGTATAGAATGAAATTGCAGGATGACGTATGGTAGGTGAATGACACGTATCGTTCATGTAAAACTTCCTACTACCGGAACCCTTTAGGAAACGAGATATAAATAAATGCCCCAGTGCACCACAAAGCTACCAAACAATATCGTTTTTCACGAGCTAGTTTTGATCATTTTGACTTCTTTGTACCTCCTTCTTGATTGCGGGGTACAGGTTACTGGTCTTCGGTAAACTTCATAATAGTTCGTCCCGCCACCCGGCTGTCGTAGCCATAGATGACTCAAAAGGAGTGGTTCCGGGGTCGATTAAACGTTGTTATCAGTATGTGGTGTGTTATGAACGTGTAACTATTGTGAATGGAGTTGATTCTTTCACCCATTGGTCTTCCAGTGTCGCCAATGAACAAAGAGATAATAATAGCAAGTATTATCAGTGCAGGTTACATAGGCTGAAAAGAGAAACAAAGAGAGGGAACGAAAAAACAGACGGCTGATGAAATTTCAAATCGATATACAAATATATACATATATATGCCTTGGTGGGAGTATGATAGAATGCTCACGAGGGCCGGAGGTGGTTTAGGGTAATAAAACATAGAATAGTCACCAGCATTTTCGGCTTAATTATGTCAGATAACCGTCAGTTAGTATGAGGTAGTTCAATCTCCAGTAGTTGCGAATATTCCTAGAAAAGGCAAATAAACCCCACGAGACGAGTTGACTATTCTCGTCAGATTACAACTGACATATGGGTTGTCAGTGATATCGAACGCTGAGTGGACGTTCGATGGACTTGTTTCCTCAAACCACAACAATCCCTATTGAGGCTCAGACGTTCGCTCATTGACAGAAGACCGAAGCAATACGATCGGAAGTATTAATACATACTATACTGACGTCATTTGTGGATACTTTCGGCGTATTGATGGTAGCCAACTGTGAACCATGTGGTCAGGCTTCTGTGTACTTAACTTGCTACATCAGGTTATGCTTGGTTGATCAATAAATATTCTATTTACCGTCTGTCGTTTAATGTCGCTTGCGTCGAAATCGAGTTACTTATCATATGCATAAAATAGTATTCTGAGCTCCAGAGAGTCGTCCTCTGGCTGCAGCAAATTTCTGCGATACCGTTATTGACACGGGTTAGCTTCTGCACTTCATGATCTATGGGAATATACACCATAGATATTTGATGTTTTATGTGTAAGTCAGAACGTGTGGCTTCATGCAACTGCAGTCATTCTAATATCCACATGTACCGTCAACTCCCCTTAACGCGACTCGGGATTACAACTTGTCATCATTCATAGAAACCTTGTCTTCTGGTCTGTACGCCCTAAATCGACTATTCTAATGGGAATGCAGCGTGACAATTTCTGTTATCTAGAGGTGCCTATGGATTCTGTCCCAATTCAATTAACCGGCACCACTCAAAGGCAATCCGTCAGCAACATTTCTACACGATACAAGGTAATACTATCTGAGAAGTGCATGCTTATCCCACACAGGAGCAACATCATGCTTTCTTAATCACTCGGTTTACTTTTGACTGCCACACTGAAAAAGAATGGGAATGCGAGGATTCAGTGCTCGAAGCAAAGTGAAGTGGTGATTGCGTTGCACTGCGGCTGTGTAGTTGTCCAATTTCTCATCGTCCCATCAACCTACACACAACCTTGGATAGGCGTTTAAGTTTAACATTTCTGTCAGTCAACCAATATGGAGAAAAGCCTGTGCATCAGGCTACGGTGGACCAGTTCCAGACAAGTGGTCACGTAAAATTATGGTTGGGGTTAACAATTAAATAATCCCAAAGTTATATGAAGAGTGTAATTCCCTTGACTATGAGAAGCTCATCGCTAAGTATAGTGGTGCATCAAACGATACGCCGTCGTCCAAACATGGTGCAAATTCGAATGAAGCTTTATGGGCAACGTAAGCAATAAATTGACAGGGGAACAGTGGCCATTATCCTACTCAGTTAGACTCTAGTTTAACCACCCTAACACTGAGGAAAGACGGAGATACAAATACACTTTATAGGGCAATCAGCCTACAATTGAAGTAGTCATCGGCTGATTCCCATGCTTTTAACAGATAGCAGAGCGAGGTGGACACACTGATCTCGTCTTGGAAACACTTCTGATGGAAGACGTTGAACAAATCATCAAAAATTCCATTAGATTTCGGGAAGGTTCTGCCGGCTGTAGTCCTGATCATCACGAAACTGTTGTTGTAGCCATGGGTTCCTTAAAGTCATTCGGTGATTTTTTCATTCCTTCACGTTCCCAGTAGAACATAGGGCTTCAAGCTAGGGGCCTGAAGTTTCTATAGCAGTGGCATTTAATTTTACGGGATGGTGTTGCTAGCCTCATACCCAACCTCCCCTCATTATCAGTCTATTTACAGGCTTAGCGAGGTGAGGTGAAGGAGTGCGTCGACTGGGGGTCGAACCCCAGACCACCTGCGTGGTCGACGAGCATTCTACCGCTGTGCCACCGCCTCACTCAGTGATTGAAGAACGCAATTCTAGATTGTCAAGTCTCCGCGTCATACGGCACTGGACCATGGGGGTGGCAAAACAAGTACGAAGATATATCGGTTCGAGTTTTGAAGAAGGAGATCCAAAGTGGTCACGAACAAAGCTGAAATGGGGAACAATCAGCAAAGCCAACACGTCACAAGCATACCCGCAGCACAATCACACTCATCGACGACGACCTACGCCTTCCAGTTAAAGGCATCCTCTTGACATCTTGCAATGAAATCGCCACTTGCTAGAATGACTCTTGCAGAAGGCAACGTGACCATAGCAGCACCTCATGATACTCTTCGCACATCCTCTTATCTATTCACTAACAATTACCACTGCGATCGCCTGTCACTCATTCTGCCTCAGTTCTAGTAATGGTGATGTATGCAAGCCTCAGTGTTCCACACTCTCGCTCCCCGGAGTGTGGGACCACGCCTAAATAGAAACATTTGTTCTCAATCATTGACTCCATAGGTAATCCTTATTTCCATGTGCATGTTATTCTCAACACTAGCCTCCCCGGCGTATACGACCCATCTGCTGTCTTTAACATAAATCAATTCTTCACGGATGTAGAAGACTCGAAACAACTTCAGAAGTAGCACGATGAAAATTTTAACAAACTTATGCAAAACAACAAGGTACGAAAACAACAAGTAAACACGGTGAATCAAAAACGCCAATTGATATGACACAACACAGGTATATACAAAAAGTACACATAACCTCGCTGATCATGTCTCGATGTAATTCCTTTGAAGAATCGCAGGATTTACAGCAGTACGCCTACAACCCTTCTCAGACTGACGTCCTAGTTTGTAAAATCGTGTCAGAGTACATTTGCTGACCTCCTTCTATCATCTATATCCTCAACTCTAAACAGTCACACGCCCATAACATTGTATCGTGGGATGTAGATGACTAACAAACATACCGCGTATCTGGCCAACCGAGCGATTCTGATCGGACGTTACAATCTCTCCCCATAACGTGGATATATTTTTGTCGATTTCTGGAATATTGTAGTGGATATTATACCACTGCTCAACTATAACTTATATTGGCTGCTACTCTAGCTTCCAATTTTGCAGATATATCACCGCCAGTTATCAAGTTTGGATCCACTCTTTCGCAGGGCTCATCCTCCTTATTGTAACTTTAGAACAACGTCGCAGAAAAGAAAACTGTAGAGAAGTTCATCATTTTGTGGTTTACATACCAGGATTAATTTACAGGATAATTGGTTTCTATATACTCTGTATTTTACTTTTTAGTACTTTGTAAATTTATTGTTTATTTATAAGCAATAAAATTCCATACGGTATCCATAGTAGTACTTAATCTGTATATCCACTCGATATACTATTTTTCCATATACCCGTTTTCGATTTAGCTCGGCTTTAACATTAAACCATATTGATTAGTTTTCAGTAATAGCACAACGGTTCGAGTTTTGAAGAAGGAGATCCAAAGTGGTCAAGGCACCTTTCATACCTCCTACATGAGAAGGGGTCGCGTCGACCAAACTTCCATCCGGCGTCATATAGGTGATTGGGAGGTGACCCCAAATCACCACTTTTATGTCTTATGCAGTGAATCGCCTGCTTATTTATACTACCAGTTCATTCTGTCTAGAAACTGATCGTTTCACTACTTACAAAACAACTGAAATCTGCTTTGGCTTAAATGGAAAAACGATGCAAGTAAAGAGGAACTTCATGACGTCAACTCAATTGCATTAGGACGCAAGCAAACATTATAGTGTAATTCTGGGAGAATCAAAGTGTTGTTGTGGAAGCCAATTACTTATCTGGAAAGGACTCCTCTCGTTAGGTAATTACGCACAAGCACACAAAATGAGCACGCTGAACTGTTGGACTGGCTAAACGAAGACCGAATTCTCATCTACTGCACTGTTAACAACACTTCAACAGAAATGAACTCATCGATTGCCAAACCTACCTCACTGAATCACCACAGATTACTAGAATGACTTATCCAAATGACTGATTACTTGTTTGCCTAATTCCTCCTGCCTTCTGTTACTTATTTTTCTTGGTATTTCCTCCTCCTCAAAGTCAGCCTTATTGCCGTTATAATGACTATCATTGTTGCCATTATTGATATCTCATTCATCTCAACCACGCAGCATGACTAACCAGTGAGACGAATAACTCCAAACACAACAGCCCATCAGGGACTAAAATCTGCTTCTGAAACTTATACAACCTATGAACACCTTTGAGCAACGCTAGTACTAAGACAGAAGAGTGGCTGGACTGACAAGATAGAAATCCACAGACGACAAGGAACCGTTCCTTCACCACCAACAAATAGACGCAAACAAATCAACAAAATTTACACTACGTAACAAGAAGTCTCTGAATGATTCCGGCCTTGTCTTCACAACATGGATGCTTAAACGAAGTTCAGGTATTCAATAGTGATGTCGTACTTGTTTGTTTACGCAGTTTACTTAGTGTGCGCGCATGTTGGTAGAAGCAATCATTCGGCATGGTACGCGGTCAGGTGAGTAGTGATGACAGACGACCGATGATCGTGCAGAGGACTTATTGTTGCCTGTTGGTACAGATGAGTGGTGTGATGCTAATCTGCTCAAGCTCACTGGAGGAAAAGTCAAAAACCAGACTACTCAGGTCCGTGAATGTTGGCCAGGTTGGCATCATACCATTCATTTCTCAACGTGACTGCGTTCAGTTGTGTTACAGGACATATATGCTCTGTAAGGCACTTGCATGCAGTTGGGACAGTCAGCAGCAAGTCTTTTGTAAGATGATATAGATTATGAGAGCTGATAACAAGGAGTGAGTTTCCATTGCAGGTGTCAGAAGAACATGGACTTCTGTAACATTGCCCAAAAGCGCAACAGTAAATGACTTTCATCCTAAGAGTCGCTCCACCTCGCCAGCTTAAAGTCGAAGTAGAAGAAAAAATGTTGAGTTCCATAAGAAGATGAGTCATCATAAGGTGAGTTGATTTCCGTGTGATGATTTTTGGAGTTACCGTCTGACATAATGGTGACAACATTTCAACTGACCGTCAGATCCTTATCTTGTGTGTAATACTAACCGACTGCTTCTCTTTTCCAACAGATGTCGACTGCCTGATGCCATTTAACTAACAGGTGGTCCGGTTGCACATGAATGCCTGTGTGGTATGCGAACCCCGTTTTTCGGTGCAACGTCTGGTCGCTCGCGTCATTACAACCTATTGTCACCACAACATGCCCTAAGGTAAGTGTGGATTGTGATGAGTATTGGAGTTACCGTCTGAAACACTGGTGACTACATTTTCCCTGAGTTTGTCCTTGAAGATGTTCGCACTACTAAACGTTTGCTTTCTGTTGCAGATGGTTGAAAAACGGGCACAAGTCAGATCGCCTTCGCTATCACGGGTTCGGAGCTCAATGGTACGCTTCAATCAGTCTTCGTGTCAACAATGTGTCCGCATATAACACGAAGTTTCTATTACCATGAACTGCATTATGTGCGAATGAGAGTAGTGCTGTACGGGTTGTGACATTTCGCTGAATAAAACTTACTGATTTGTGGATAATTTGGGGTGGTGTTTTACTCTGTCCAGTGCAGTTTGATTTGAGTGATATCTTGAGAGGTTCCTCTTCTACGTCGACCGGAGATTTGGTCAGGGAGATCTTGAGTCTGCTGCTAAGCGCTTATCCGAAGGCAGTTCGCGTATGGAGGAGAGCGTCTCTTGCTTTGGTTGTTCATAGTGGTGTAAGTCTCGGAGATATGTCGGCAACGTGGTACCGCCTGTTTGTGCCTGCTAGACTTCATTCAGATTGTTGTTAGGAGCTGCGGACTACATGCCTGTGTTAACTCTTTCGGTAAGCATCTGTGCTTGTCTAAGGTTCTAGGTGATCGTTGGAGAGCTAGTGATTGCACGTGGGGCCATTCGAATGTTTGGTCTTCTATTATGGGGTTGCACAATCAAGCCTCACTGACAGGCCCTTGAACGTCCGACCAACCAGTTACTATGTCTGGCGTGACGAACTCGATACAGGGGATGAGATCTTCTGACGGTTGTCTGCTCTTAACGACAAGCATTCAACCAAGGTTATCCAATTATCTGCGCGACTATAGCTGTGTATGACTAATCTGGACGCCTTCGAGTCCGTCACCGTCGAGAATGCGAAGAATGAGCTGAGAAAAGTCATTTTCGTGTACAATTAGTCGATCGCCCCCAAATAGTCCCTTCCTAGTGTCTTACCCTTTAGGAATAATGGTCGTTGATCCTAGAAGTATGTTACTCACTGGCTAGAAACAGTAATTTCGTCGAGTATTCCTTTCTTTGTTGTTCACTAGTGGGTAAATGTGAATTGTAATAGCCGAGGGCATGAGGTAGATTAAATAAATCAGCATTCTGTCCCGTCCGTCTGGTGACTCGTAGGTGTGGAGAGGGGATACTTGGCAGTAGATTTGCAGATATTTTTCACGCTATACAGAGAAAAATGGGGTATTTCGGAGTGAATGTATATTCACCGTTGGGAATGATTTTGAGCCTTGTCGCCAATAGTTTCTGTCGATTTGTGAAGCAGTCTATGCCATCAATGCAACTCAAACATACAGTCAGGCATTAACTTGATCCCTCCAGGACGATACTTCGCGGTTCGTAGGTTTGTCAACCGTATGTAGTTGAGTCCGACGTCCCAACGGGATGTATCAACATTCTGAAGACATTTCTAAAGATGAGACATCTGAGGCGACAGGAAGGGGAAGAGCTTTTTACTGGATAGAATGTGAATCCGTAAGTGGCGGTTCATGAGACTCAGATAACTTCTCAATCTCATTAAGTTCAACCTTATTCCCGACCACCGTAATTAACTTTAGGAACTTTCAAGCTTATTATCACTTCGGTGAGGAGTCTCATCTGATCATATATCAGGTAATTTCGGTGTTACTCGTGTAACTGAAGGCATCCCCACTATTGTTATTCCTTGAGTTTTCTACAAGCGAGTGAATTATTTCGTTATTTTAACTATTTTGGTGTATATTTTAATAACTTACCAAAGTGTATGTCTACAGTCGACCTTAGTGAAATTTCTCAGAGAAACTACTCTAGTTCACTGCAGATTTGCAACTTATTTTTGAATATAAAATTTATGCTAGTTGTCTTCCACAATAATCCTGTTTCTTAATGCTTACAGTTTTGATGATAAACATTTGTGGACGTTAATCACCACTTGACGTATTTCCTTCAGACAACACTGCCTAATCCAATTTCGAGGATTCTTGATGTTTTGTATGTGTTGTGTTACTTATAGTAATCATTGGCCACTATTAGTAGTTTGCGTAACCTTTTAAGAATACTGACTATCTGTGCAGCTTTGAATAAAACTTACCGAAGGTGAATACTTTGCTGGCCTATACCTCTTGACACATAGTTAGTGTTCATACTTGGTGTTGATAGCTGTAAATGAAGGGTAGGAACTGATCGCTGTACAGGTTCTGTAAGCTTTCCAATATGGATATTTGAAGGATTTCCGTGGGTTGCTCTGTGTTCGGTTCAGTTTAAATTCGACTTCTTGCGTGCAGGTTTCTATTACCGGATAGCATTGTATTGACACAGTATGTTCGTTTCATAGTCTAGCTCATAACCCTGCTTTAATTAGTCAATCGCATCTAGAGGAATCTTCTTGTACTATCGATCTGTTTACAATCCAATACCGTATATTGGTGACGGGAGATATGTCCCTTGAATTTATGGGACGATGTGAAATCCTGTTGACTGTAAATGGTGTAACTTTTAGCATAGGCTAGTGCATGTAAATGGTTATGCATGTCTGTTGTGTTCCTCTTAAAATCACTCAGTATAGCACCCACTTCGATAAACCTAAGTTCATTGAGACATCTGAGCTAAAAGAGAATATGAAGCTTAGGTTTCAATAGAGAACTTTGCATAGCAGTGCAGCAGTTTGAGTTGCTATACACAAATGTAGACAAAAAATTCACAAGAACTATAATGAACGGAAATGTACAAGAGAAGAGAATAATGAGGATCTGATGAATCTTGGAGATTACAAAGAGTGGATGAATCTGCCTCAGTGAAAACGATTTTGAGCCATAATCTCAAATCATTGCTCTTTAGAGTCATTAAAATATCATCCAGGTAGTCTGTACCTCTGTACGTGAGTCAAACGAACAGTTTGAGACTTCGTGGGCTGACGTTAGGTTTTAGTTTGACTACCGGCAACTATTTTTCAACCTAATCTTACGTATGCTGACGTTGCTCGATGAGAATGGCGACACCTTGGAATATGTACCGCGTGTCTTAGCCATTCAATCGACACAGCTTCAAAACCTAATCCACTAACTTCCCTAGCAATCTATGTCTAGCAACAGCAATACCCACCATATTATACCATTTTACGTCGATTGAATGCAATACAGATATCCTCCTCATATTTTGCATTTTCAGTGGCTAAGTCTCACAGCCGTAAAGAAGGACAAATCTAGACGTTGCACACCACACACGACTTAACGTTTTTTGGTTAAGCTTGATGATTTGTGAGCAACTGACTTTACAACTAACTAACGTGATATGTGTAACTAGTAGCTGGGAAACAGAATGTAACGGATGATGAGGATCTGAATAAATACGTGTCCGTACTATAAGTGAACACATTAACCCTTGGCCTTTTAAAAAATCTTGTTAATCATTTTTATGTGCATACTAACAATGAAACTTTATCATTAACCCACGTACAGAGGTACAGACTACCTGGATGATATTTTAATGACTCTAAAGAGCAATGATTTGAGATTATGGCTCAAAATCGTTTTCACTGAGGCAGATTCATCCACTCTTTGTAATCTCCAAGATTCATCAGATCCTCATTATTCTCTTCTCTTGTACATTTCCGTTCATTATAGTTCTTGTGAATTTTTTGTCTACATTTGTGTATAGCAACTCAAACTGCTGCACTGCTATGCAAAGTTCTCTATTGAAACCTAAGCTTCATATTCTCTTTTAGCTCAGATGTCTCAATGAACTTAGGTTTATCGAAGTGGGTGCTATACTGAGTGATTTTAAGAGGAACACAACAGACATGCATAACCATTTACATGCACTAGCCTATGCTAAAAGTTACACCATTTACAGTCAACAGGATTTCACATCGTCCCATAAATTCAAGGGACATATCTCCCGTCACCAATATACGGTATTGGATTGTAAACAGATCGATAGTACAAGAAGATTCCTCTAGATGCGATTGACTAATTAAAGCAGGGTTATGAGCTAGACTATGAAACGAACATACTGTGTCAATACAATGCTATCCGGTAATAGAAACCTGCACGCAAGAAGTCGAATTTAAACTGAACCGAACACAGAGCAACCCACGGAAATCCTTCAAATATCCATATTGGAAAGCTTACAGAACCTGTACAGCGATCAGTTCCTACCCTTCATTTACAGCTATCAACACCAAGTATGAACACTAACTATGTGTCAAGAGGTATAGGCCAGCAAAGTATTCACCTTCGGTAAGTTTTATTCAAAGCTGCACAGATAGTCAGTATTCTTAAAAGGTTACGCAAACTACTAATAGTGGCCAATGATTACTATAAGTAACACAACACATACAAAACATCAAGAATCCTCGAAATTGGATTAGGCAGTGTTGTCTGAAGGAAATACGTCAAGTGGTGATTAACGTCCACAAATGTTTATCATCAAAACTGTAAGCATTAAGAAACAGGATTATTGTGGAAGACAACTAGCATAAATTTTATATTCAAAAATAAGTTGCAAATCTGCAGTGAACTAGAGTAGTTTCTCTGAGAAATTTCACTAAGGTCGACTGTAGACATACACTTTGGTAAGTTATTAAAATATACACCAAAATAGTTAAAATAACGAAATAATTCACTCGCTTGTAGAAAACTCAAGGAATAACAATAGTGGGGATGCCTTCAGTTACACGAGTAACACCGAAATTACCTGATATATGATCAGATGAGACTCCTCACCGAAGTGATAATAAGCTTGAAAGTTCCTAAAGTTAATTACGGTGGTCGGGAATAAGGTTGAACTTAATGAGATTGAGAAGTTATCTGAGTCTCATGAACCGCCACTTACGGATTCACATTCTATCCAGTAAAAAGCTCTTCCCCTTCCTGTCGCCTCAGATGTCTCATCTTTAGAAATGTCTTCAGAATGTTGATACATCCCGTTGGGACGTCGGACTCAACTACATACGGTTGACAAACCTACGAACCGCGAAGTATCGTCCTGGAGGGATCAAGTTAATGCCTGACTGTATGTTTGAGTTGCATTGATGGCATAGACTGCTTCACAAATCGACAGAAACTATTGGCGACAAGGCTCAAAATCATTCCCAACGGTGAATATACATTCACTCCGAAATACCCCATTTTTCACTGTATAGCGTGAAAAATATCTGCAAATCTACTGCCAAGTATCCCCTCTCCACACCCACGAGTCACCAGACGGACGGGACAGAATGCTCACAGGCCCTTGAACGTCCGACCAACCAGTTACTATGTCTGGCGTGACGAACTCGATACAGGGGATGAGATCTTCTGACGGTTGTCTGCTCTTAACGACAAGCATTCAACCAAGGTTATCCAATTATCTGCGCGACTATAGCTGTGTATGACTAATCTGGACGCCTTCGAGTCCGTCACCGTCGAGAATGCGAAGAATGAGCTGAGAAAAGTCATTTTCGTGTACAATTAGTCGATCGCCCCCAAATAGTCCCTTCCTAGTGTCTTACCCTTTAGGAATAATGGTCGTTGATCCTAGAAGTATGTTACTCACTGGCTAGAAACAGTAATTTCGTCGAGTATTCCTTTCTTTGTTGTTCACTAGTGGGTAAATGTGAATTGTAATAGCCGAGGGCATGAGGTAGATTAAATAAATCAGCATTCTGTCCCGTCCGTCTGGTGACTCGTAGGTGTGGAGAGGGGATACTTGGCAGTAGATTTGCAGATATTTTTCACGCTATACAGAGAAAAATGGGGTATTTCGGAGTGAATGTATATTCACCGTTGGGAATGATTTTGAGCCTTGTCGCCAATAGTTTCTGTCGATTTGTGAAGCAGTCTATGCCATCAATGCAACTCAAACATACAGTCAGGCATTAACTTGATCCCTCCAGGACGATACTTCGCGGTTCGTAGGTTTGTCAACCGTATGTAGTTGAGTCCGACGTCCCAACGGGATGTATCAACATTCTGAAGACATTTCTAAAGATGAGACATCTGAGGCGACAGGAAGGGGAAGAGCTTTTTACTGGATAGAATGTGAATCCGTAAGTGGCGGTTCATGAGACTCAGATAACTTCTCAGTCTCATTAAGTTCAACCTTATTCCCGACCACCGTAAT